CCAGACAGGCCTGTGGAAAGAGGGAAGCATGCGTCATCCAAGACGGTCTGGAAGGCCTACAGTGGGTCTTTGGGGGCCCCACTGGGCTTGGGTTATTCTCTTAAAGGTAGGAGAGGTTTCACATGCCCAGGGGCCCAGGGACTCACGGATGATCCACTGCCAGTCAGAACCATTCTATGTGCCTGGCCACAGCTGGAAAATCCAACTGGACTGACAGTGACAGTTGTTGCCACTGCAAGCTCCTGATGCCCAACTTCTACCCCACAGTCAAAGGGCTTCATCAGGGTCAGCTGGAGCCAGAGTAGCATGTGACAGCCAGGGGGTGGGGAGAAACAGAGATGCAGCCCAGGTTCCCGCAACGCTGCTTGAACAGAGCTGTGTAGCCCCTGGGACCTGGTAAGCCCACACAGGGACCTCCACTTCCGGATAGGGTGGGATTGTTAACCTCACTCCAGGACACTAAGGCACAAGAACCAAAAGCAGCAAATTGGCAGAGTCTCACAGAGAGATTCCCTCACCCTCAGGCAGGGCAGAAGGCAGGACAGCCATTCACCAGGGTCCCCAGGTCCTCCAGCGACCCTTCTGTACATTTCTCCTCAGCCCTCATTGCTCCCAAACCCTTAAGCCTTGGTCCTTTCAGCTGGGTCTGTCTTAATTCACACTGAATTCCAGAAGTGAGGCAGAAAGAGTTCTGCCTAGCACCCTAAGCATTGTGGATGCTCATCTGCTGTATTATAAAATAAACAACGGAGTGTGGGGGATACATATTCAGAGACTCATAGAAATAAACACAAAGATTCAAAGAGGGAATGAGAGAGACCAAGCCAGGATCATAGACAGGGTGATATTCACTCACAGAGACATACATTCCAAACCCACAGAGATCCCCTCATATAGTCCCACGTTCTGAGACAGAGTGCCTCACACAGCCAGAGCCTCACAGAGTGATACATTCAGAGACACACACAGAGACTTACTGAAATATAATCACACATACCCGCATAGGTAAATATCCAGACACATGCAGCATAATGGTGACACATAGGTGGAGACAGAAACAGAAATAGCAACACACTCAGACACACACAGGACTTCTGACACAGTTACACAGTCAACACATAGACACAGGCACACAGATACTCCTGCATGCTCCCGCACACACACGCACACCACATGCACATTTAGTTTTCCTCCATTTCTCCCGCCTTCCCAGATTGCAGGCCTGCTCCTTTAAGAACTGGCTGAAGGGGTGGGGGAGGGAGATCGGGAACGCCCGGCAATCGGCCACCACGAGAGGGGAATGAGAATGTGTGTGTGTGTGTGTGTGTGTGTGTGTGTGTGTGTGTGTGTGAAAGAGAGAGAGAAGAAAAAGGAAGAGGAGGGAGGGCGGGTAAAGTGGCTAAAGGGGTGGGGGCTCAGAGGAAATGAGGAAATGGGGAGCAAAGTATGGGGGGGAAGATCCCAGACACTGCCCAGAATGCACCCGGGTCGGGGGAGGAGGGGAAGGGGAAGGAAGGGGTAGGAGTAGGGAGGTGGGGCAGGAGGGAGTGGGTGGGTGTGTGTATGGGGGGGGATAGTCCGCAGCTGAGTTCACACAATCCCCCCATTCACCGTCTCCATGGCAACTCCGGGGCACAGACCGCTCATTCACACGGCTTCTCAGCCAGCAACCCCCCCCATTAACCCCTTCTGTGCCGCCCCCACCCCACAAATTCCATTAACCCTTTCGGGATGCCTCCAGTAACCCTTCGGCGCCAAATGCCAAATTCTCCTTTGAGTCAATTCCCTGCAGCCCCTCCTCCGTGAACACCTAGACAATCGGACCGACCCCCAAACGCCCTCTGTACCCTAGGACCCACTGTGAATCCCCAAGGCCAAGATCTCCATCCTGGTCCAACTTGCAATTTGGGAGAAGACAAGGGGAGGCAGCAATGTCAGGGATGAGAATGGCATCTGGGGGTACTTTTGGGGCTGCAGCGGTGTTGGGCGCCGGGCATTGTGCAGGAATGGACCAATATTGAGAACTGCAGTATTGGGGGCTAAGAGGGTTTGGAATGGATTGGGGGATGGAGTTGCACTGGAATGGGGGAGGATAGGATAAAGGCCTCCATTGGGTGGGGGGGCTGCAGTGGGTGGGGGAGGGAGCCAGGCTATGAGATGCTATGATGGAAGGGGGATGGGGCTGCACGGCAGGGGAGGGGGGACTGGCAATGTTCAATCCTGGGATGGGGCTGGGGGCCCTTGATAGGGGTATTTTGATGAGCACGCGGGATGGGCTGTGGAAATAGAGGGACCATGGGCGGGAGGATGGTAGGGATGCAGGATTTAGGGAGGAGGTAGAGGGCAGAACAGAAGCGGGGGAGGATTGGGGGGTCAGGGGTGCCGACGGAGAACATGGGGTTGAGAGGGATGGGGGCCACTGGCTGGGGAGTGGAGGAGCCTGGGATTGGGAGGGGTTAGGATGGGGGCAAGGTATGGGCAGCTAGAGGATGAGAGACCGGGGCAGGCGGCCTCACCTGTTCCCCGGGCTGCTGCAAGCGACTGAACCGGGCCACGGACCACCCATATCGCCTCCAGGCAAGGGCTCCGCACCCGAATCCCCGAGATCAGCTCTCCGGCAGCTGGCTGCTGTGCCGCGCACCGAGGGGGCGCGCTGCGCGTGCCCGGACACGGGGGGGCGCGGTCCCTGCCATTAACTCCTTTTGTGCCAGAGATGGCTCAAGTCCTGGGGCATGGCCCAATTCCCCCCATGTTCAGACACGTTCCGCTCCCTCTCTCTCTCACGCGCGCGCATACACACCTCAAATTGCAAGCTATCAGACAGGGGATCTTCCAGGGCAGCTTGCCCAAACTACCTGCAAGCTTGAGACCTTGACCCAAGGGAGAAACTGAGGTACTGCCTGCAGGAACCCTCAGTCATACTACACAAAAACACACCACCACCTCAATCAGCATCCCTCATCTTTCAGCACCAGCACTACCCAGACAGCAACCAATGGAGCCACTCTGCTCTCATCCTGTCACTCTCCCAAAGGTCAATGCTGTTCCCTTTTGCTGCTTCTGCTGGGACATGTCAGACTCAGACTGTCAGCATGCCAGTTGTCTGCCCATTTCAGTCTCTCCCCTCCAGGCTCAGTGTCTTTGGGTCTTGTGGTTTTGTATATGGCACACCTGTCATTTAGCAACACCCAAGCCCCTCTTAATGCTCCTCATCCCAGCCAAGCCTGTACTCCTGTAGCTACTCAGAATGTTGATGTCAGGTTAGAATAAGTGAGAAGAAAGCTTCAGTCATGTCTGCCTTTACACTGTCAGGGAGTTCCACTCCTTGTGCACGCAAGTCTTAAATTTGGTAAGTCCCATATAAGCAAGGGCTTCCTGGGCCTTAAAGAGGGCTTTTATTTTATTTTTTATAACTTGGGTATTGATTGGTGCTCCTCGTTTTGCCAGCACGCTAGACACTTCCCAGTAATAGGGTGCAACTGTGGCTTGCATGTTATCCTTAAGTTGTCAAATCATCTTGTACCACCCACTCACAAGGCTGAGGCTGATCCTCTTCCAACCCTAGCTAGGCAGGGCAGAAGATTCCACTGTAGTAAACCAGTTGGCTCTCCTGGACAATCTTGGATCTAAAGCTCAAACCGGAAAGCAACAGGGCGGGAATGGCCCTGACATGGCTTCAAATGTGACTGTGGGGCAACAGTTTTGAGTTTTCTCTACTGTAAAATGGCAGTGAGCAACAGTCATCCTGGGTAACTGCCAAGGTGGGTCATGTGAGAACAGGCAGTTCTGGCAGCAGGGCAGAGAGAAAGCATGCTTATTTTTACTGGTCTCTTCCTCTTAGAACCAAATGGTCCTTCCACCACCTATTCTATGATGGCACATGTCAATGGAGGGCCATTTTTCATCCAGGAATGTGACTCTCAGAGAAGTTCTCTGTCCTATGAAAGGTACGCCACTTGGTACATGATGGGGACCACACAGATGACAAGAAGGGTAGGCAGTGTCTGTCATCTCCACCCTCCCCAGCTTGTTTGAGGCCCAGCATCTGGGGTGTTGTGGAAGAATAATCAGGTTCTGTTGACGATTCCCCTGGCCTAATGACCTCTCCTCAATCCCAGTGGTATTATCCCCCATGGAGGAAAGCTGTAAAGAAGCTGCAACATTTAGTTGAGAAGGTTCACTGCTCCTTCTTAAGAGACTAAGGGGCCTGCTGTGGTGGCTCATGCCTGTAATCCCAGCACTTTGGGAGGCCGAGGTGGGCAGATCACCTAAGGTCAGGAGTTCGAGATCAGCCTGGCCAACATGGTGAAACCTCGTCTCTACTAAAGAAACAAAAGGGCTCATGCCTGTAATTCCAGCACTTTGGGAACCTGAGGTGGTCGGATCACGAGGTCAAAAGATCGTGACCATCCTGGCCAATGTGGTGACACCCCATCTCTACTAAAAATATAAAAAATTAGCTGGGCATGGTGGTGCATGCCTGTAGTCCCAGCTACTCGGGAGGCTGAGGCAGGAGAATTGCTTGAACCCAGGGGGTGGAGGCTGTGGTGAGCCAAGATCGTGCCACTGCACTCCAGCCTGGCGACAGAGCAAGACTCCGTCTCAAAAAAAAAAAAAAAAAATTAGCAGGGCGTGGTGGAGCATGCCTGTAATCTCAGCTACTTGGGAAGCTGAGGCAGGAGAATCACTGGAACCCAGGAGGCAGGGGTTGTAGTGAGCTGGGATCATGCCACTGCACTCTAGCCTGGGCAACAAGAGCAAAATTTCATCTCAAAATAAATAAATAAATAAAAGAGACTAAGGGTCTATACCTTAATAGGTTGCAATGTTGGAGAAGAGGAAGAGAGGGTAGCAATCCAATTAGAATTAAGAAATTTAGAGTGTAAGGTAAACAGGGGAGATGACTGGAATAGAATGAAGACTCTGACTTGTTGGTCCAGCCCCCAGCATTGTCCCCCGAGAGACCACCCTTCCCAGACATGCAGAACTCACACACTCCCTTTGCAAAGAAGCTCTGTGTATTGGGTGCAACAGCTCTGGGGTCTCTATATAAATAATATACAAAACCCAACAGCTCAATGCCTCACATTAACAAAATACTAAAACTTATTAAAAACGGAGCCTGAGGGAAGGGCCCCAACCACTATTGGTGCTAGCCCAGGAAAAGGATTGGGAGTTAACAGGAAAGGGTGGGGCCACATCCAGTGCACAAGCAGTTCCTCCAGGTGGCTCAGTAGCGTCCAAATATGTTGGTACTGGGCTGTGGCTGGGTATCTGTGAAAAACCAGAGATTATCAGGGATGGAAGACCAGGCAGGGCTGTGGGTATGCATGAGGAAAGCTGTTCAGGTATCAAGGGAAGGGGATGGAATGGAATGCATCTTCTCATAACCTGGATCTGAAGCCATTGTTTCAGCTACTTTGGCCCACCCCGCCCCCTAAATTTATTCCATGGGATTCTCCTGGGGAAGGCAGGCAGGCTTACTGGAGAGCTGTTGTTGCAGTTGCCGGACCAAAGCTGCTGTCTGTTGCTGCTGCTGGGTCTGCTGAAGCCCCTGGCGCTGGAACTGGGTGGAAATGGGAAGTGGAAGACTGAACTCGAACTTTTCTCCTTCTTCACCCTCCTCTCCCTTTTTCTTTGAGACGGAATCTTGCTCTGTCATCCAGGCTGAAGTGCAGTGATGCTATCTCTGCTCACTGCAACCTCCGCCTCCCGGGTTCAAGCAATTCTCTGCCTCAGCCTCCCAAGTAGCTGGGATTACTGTCACCATGCCCGGCAATTTTTTTTTTTTTTTTTTTTGTATTTTTAGTAGAGACAGGGTTTCACCATCTTGGCCAGGCTGGTCTGGAACTCCTGACCTCAAGTGATCCACCCACCTCGGCCTCCCAAAGTGCTGGGATTACAGGCGTGAGCCACCATGCCTGGCCTCCCAATCCCTTTTTAGGGTGCCATGCCCTGCCTCCCACCTCTACCCCATTCCATGCTGTCCCCAACCTAGTTCACTGGCTGTGTGCCCAACCTGGGCAGCTGTCCCTGAGCCTGGGGCTGTAGTCCAGCAGCTACCTGGGGCTGGGACTGGGGCTGGGGTTGGGGAGGAGCCGCCTGTTGCTGCTGTTGCTGCTGGTGTTGCTGCTGCTGTTGCTGTTGCTGTTGTTGCTGCTGCTGCTGTTGCTGTTGCTGCTGTTGCTGCTGCTGTTGCTGCTATGAGAACATAAAAGATACTTCAGAAGGAGCAGAGGGAAGAAGCTAAGACTCAGAACTGGAGGGCCAAGGGCAGAGGATGAGGAAGCAGGGAGGGAGCTTGGGGTCTACTGCCTTCCCTTCTCAGACAGCTGCCCAGAAAGAAACCAAATCTAGGGTACCCAGTGGACAATGTCCAAGTCTTTCCCTCTATGATCTCCAGAAAACAAAAAGGGGGAGGGTAGGAAACCTCCAGTAGCACTAGAGGCCAGCCGCTCTGCTGGGCATTTGGGTACACTGCCTTGTTTAGTCTTGGTAACCGTGGGAAGAACTTGTGCCTCTCTCCGTCGTCCCAGATGCAATCCCAGTGCCTTACCCGCAGGATCTGCTGCTGCTGCTGCTGTCGGATGTGGTACTGCTGCTGCTGCTGTTGCTGTTGCTGCTGCTGCTGTTGCTGCTGCTGCTGTTGCTGCTGCTGCTGCTGTTCGGGTAGGATGGCTGTTGAGCGGACGCCTGTCTGGACGCCCTGGGCACTCATTGGAGTCATGGTACTTATCATGGGTGTCTGCTGCAGTGTCTGGTGTGAAAACCTCCAAAGACAAGAGGGCCGGAGGTCAAGGCATGCGGGAGGTGGGGGAGAGGGGGTCAGTACAAACCCTGGGTTCCTGACCTGAAAGAAACATTACAAGTTATTTCATTCATTCCTCTTGTCACTAACCAGACTTCCAGTCTGGGGAATAAGTTGCATAAGATGATATTCTATTTTAGTGTCTCATAATCTTAATGGTTAGGAATTTTCAATTCTGCGTTAGCCATTTTTCTCTTACAAAAATGAAAAACAGGGCTGGGTGCGGTGGCTCACATTTGTAATCCTAGCACTTTGGGAGGCTGAGGCAGGTGGATCACTTGAGGTTAGGAGTTCGAGACCAGCCTGACCAACAAGGTGAAACCCTGTCTCTAGCAAAAATACAAAAAAATTAGCCAAGCATGGTGGCACATGCCTATAATCCCAGCTACTTGGAAGGTTGAGGCATGAGAATTGCTTGAACCTGGGAGGTGGAGTTTGCAGTGAGCCGAGATTGCACCACTGCACTCTAGCCTGGGTGACAGAGCGAGACTCCGTCTCAAAAAAAAAAAAAAAGAAAAAAGAAAGAAAAACAGTCTTAGCAGAAGACAGGCATTCTATAAACACTCATTGAGGTTTTTTGCTGTTGCTGCTGTTGTTCCCCAATAACATTTCAAGTTGTTCTACTACACCTGTTTATCAGTGCAAGAGTCTATTGGCTGGATCAGTCTTTTCTTTTTGTTTGTTTTGAGATGAGTTTCGCTCTTGTTACCCAGGCTGCAGTGCAGTGGCACAATCGTGGCTCACCACAATCTCTGCCTCCTGGGTTCAAGCAATTCTCCTGCCTCAGCCTCCCGAGTAGCTGGGACTACAGGTGCGTGCCACCATGCCCAGCTAATTTTTGTATTTTTAGTAGAGACGGGGTTTCACCACATTGACCAGGATGGTCTCAATCTCTTGACCTCGTGATCTACTCGCCTCAGCCTCCCAAAGTGCTGGGATTATAGGCGTGAGCCACCGCGCCCGGCCTTTTTTTTTTGAGACAAAGTCTCACTCTGTTGCTCAGGCTGGAGTATAGTGGCATGATCTCAGCTCACTGCAACCTCCATCTCCCAGGTTCAATTGGTTCTCCTGCCTCAGCCTCATGAGTAGCTGGGAATACAGGCACACACCACCACACCCAGATAATTTTTATATTTTTAGTAGAAATGGGTTTTTGCCATGTTGGCCAGGCTGGTCTCGAACTCCTGACCTTAGTGGTGGGTGATCCGCCCACCTCGGCCTCCCAAGTACTGGGATTACAAGCATAAGCCACTGCACCAGAAGTTTTCTTCTTGCACCTTCCAGTAGGCATCCTATCCACTTATTCCACAGGAGCCTTGCAATACGCCCAACTCCTCTTATCACTCTTTTGATCAAAAGAGCCCTCTCTGGGACTGTGTCTCAATTCTTCAGCTGAGCATTCAAGGCCATCTCTCAGCCTGCCCCCTCCTAGCCTAGCCCCAGTGACTGCCCCAGTGTCTTCCCCAGCACAGATTTTACACTCCATCCAAGCCCTTCTCCCCAGACACCATACTCATTCTGGTCCCCATGTCTTTGTTCACATTACATCCTCTACCTGGAATACCCTTTCTTCTCTTCTCCACAAATCCCAATCACAGCTATCTCCTTCAAGGCTAACTCAAGTCTGACCTTCTTCATGAAACTTGCTCTGATGAGTCAGGCCCACAGGTATTACTCGTACTTTTCTCATCTGCATTTTACCTCACAGCATACAGCTGCCTACCTGATTATGTCTTTGCTCAGAGTATTCTCTCAGTGTTCTTCTGTAAGTCTCATCTCCCCAGCTACAGTAAAGATACTTCGTAGTGAGGAACTATGTATTTTGGGGATTTTTTTGCTATCTTTTCCTCATCTCACCTAGTCCTGGCATAGTGCTGGCCACACAATGGGCAGTTAGCCCACTCCCCGGTATTCTAAATCCTAAGCTTCAGAGTCTCTAAACATGATTACGAGGCCTCAACTAAGGCTTGACTAACATTAACCACGGTGGGAGGATTTGTTCATTAGTCCTTGCTGGTATTCAACTGTTCACTACCTGTACTGGCTTTTTGACTCCTTATCATGTAGTTAATCTATGAACTCCAGATATTTTTTTCTTACAGGGTCTTACCCTGTCACCCAGGCTGGAGTGCAGTGGCGCAATCTCAGCTCATTGTGCGATTACAGGTCACTGCAGCCTCAAAACTCCAGGCTCAAGAAATCTTCCCACCTCAGCCTCCTGAAGTAAGCTGGGACTACAGGCATGCACCACGTCTGGCTAATTAAAAAAAATTTTTTTGGGGCCAGGTGTGGTGGCTCAGTTCAAGACCAGCCTGGGCAGCATGTCGAAACTCCATCTCAACTAAAAAATCCAAAAAATTAGCTGGGCATGGTGGTGTATGTCTGTAGTTCCAGCTACTTGGGAGGCTGAGGTAGGAGGATCACCTGAGCCTGGGAGGTTGAGGCTGCAGTGAGCCATGATCGTGCCACGGCACTCCAGCCTGGGCAACTGGAGTGAGACTCTGTTTAAAAAAAAAAAAAAATTTTTTTTTTGGTAGAGATGGGATCTCCCTATGTTGCCCAGGTCTCAAACTCCTGGACTCA